TGACAAATCTCAGCACACCATAGCATGCCCTGCAAGAACGAAAAATCTTTAGCTTTAACGCATAACTTTATCATATAAATAAATGTTAAGTACACCCTTGTGCAGCAATTCAGGTAGACGTAGGAGAATATTCCAAACTCCAAGAACTTTGAGATTAGCACAAGAAGCCTGACAAACTCCACCCGGGGTTTTATTTGAGCATTGATACAAAAACAACCCCAAGTCTAACGCAGAAACGGCATAAAGGGAAATGGAAACAATGCTCATGCCCCACACAATGTGTTACGAAACGAGGGATTGAAAACCATTAAATGATGAAAAATTTACCATCCAGTGATCAAAGTGATCATATAGCCAGGAGTGAACATACATATCAATCCTAAGCTAACATAGATGGAATGAGCAACTATAGTCATCCTCAGACACGAGTTCAGCACTCCGTACATGTACATCATAAGCCTATTCGCTGAAAAGATGACTTCGACTGACATGAATTCTAAATTTAAACAAATAAAGAAAAAATGGAATAATGGAATTGGACCTGCGAACAGCGAGGCCTCCAAGGAGCTTGTAACGGAGAGACTCAGCCTGAGCAATGGCGCAGAGACCCCTGTTGTTCACCTTCTCAGCGTAGAGCTCAACGCTGTTCTCAGGGAACTTGAACCGCTTCTGAACTATAGATGTCAGTTCCCTAATCCTCCTACCCTTCTCGCCTATTCGATATATACATACACATGTATATTTATCAAATGAATACAAAATTATCAAATTTAATTGTAATTATTTAGATTGATAAACAGAATTATAGATCGTTGATTAGAATTACCGAGAACGTTCTGAGTACGAGTGGCTCTGATGATGATCTCAGTGCGAACAGGGGTGACCCTAACTTCGACGCCAGAGTAGCCATCCTCTGCCAGCTCTCTGGTCAGAACCTCATTCAGCTCGGCGAAGAAGACTCCGTCGGCCACAAACTATCAATTGCATAAACAAACCTACGATTAATTTATCATTTGTATGTATAATAATTTCAGATTTTAGATTTGATTGGCTAATTATTTAACTAATTCGGGGGAGTTTGTGTGTGTTTACCTTTCGCTTCTTGCTCATCTGGGTTGCCATGTTGTGAAATCGGAGGAGATGAGAGTATCCAAGACTGAGCTTCGGCGCTTTCGGCGTTTGCTTGCACAAAACCCTAATTGCTTCAGCAGAGGCGTTGATGGACCCGAATATGTTTACTATATAAAGGGGCGGAGGAGGAGCCTGATCCGACGGTCCATTTACAAGGATAAGATCGTAATCTGACATACTTTCTCGAAACCATTATTTTAGCCCATCATCAATTTCTTTTTTTCTCTTTGGGCCGAATAGGTGGGCTTAGCCCAAAAAGTAATTACATCATCTCTCAGTCATTGATGGAATTTGAAAGTTACTTGCACACGTGATCGATCGACTGTCTCTAACCGTCGACTTCCTAGGAGAGCTTAAACTCATCAAGGAGTTGCATTGTTTTTTTTTTTCTTTGATCTTTGAACTCTATAATAACAATATGGATTAAATTATATATTTGAAGAATTATTTCGACACTCGAATAGAATCTTTGCTACGCATATTGATCTTGTATCTTCAAATGAGGCAATTACAAGCTTACAACCACCATTTTTGAGGCACATAGGTGCTGCTCCATTCTATTCTAACCTATTTATTATTCTCAGTGACATACAATAACTGAATAAATATGGTGGTTGTCATTGAACAGGAGGGCAAGTTGCTTGGTTGCAAGTTGATTTTCCTTTCTGTTTAGTGAAAACTGCAGTGCACCGCGATCGAACACTAGAAGTCTGAATGGTACAAGCAAACTAGGCTCGAATGAGTTATGGGAGTCCGGCAGAGGGGGCATTCAGGCTTTTCATTGCACCACTCCATAATGCAACTCCTGCAAACAGATCATGTTAAACCCGAGAGAAAGAGAGGCTGGAGTAATGAAAATGCAAAGGGACAGTACCAGCAAAATACGTGGCCGCAAGGTGTGGCTGTTGGGTGTTGCCGATTACTCAAACAGAGTGTGCATTTGCTCATCCCACTGGCCTGAGACTAAAAGGAGGAAGAAAAAAGTTTGATTCAGTCATTTAAATTTATTTCGAAGAGATCACATCCACTCAAATAGACGAGTGACACTTTTGCTGGATCGACCCATTCACACAGTCACACCGCAGAAGTCATAATATATAAAAAGCAATACATAAGCCTCAAAAGAGGAAAAGAGTTCAGTGTCATGATTGGAATATATACCTCTGAAGTCGATGAATCAGGGACCCAACTTCCCTTGGCAGTGTCTGCTGATATCAAATGACCTTCCTCATTTAACACAGGCAAATCTCGACCTATAAACCCATAAACAAAGGTGGCAGATTGTAATTGTAGTTACTAATTGAAAAAGGGAAACTGGTCTTTAATATACAACCATGAAGAATGCTTCTGTGATTGCCCTATGGGCTTAACTTATTTAATCTTACACCATATGACTGGTTTTACTTGATAGGTTGTAAGTTCTGTTGCTTCATGTGAAGACCATAAATATAAATTGGTAAGAACAAATTGGAAGAACAAACTGACCTCCAGAAGTTTGATGTGTACCAAAAGTCTGATGAGCTGAACCTGCGATAGAAGATAAATTACTCCGCCTCAGTCCTTCAGCAGCTATAATACAGAGCTGAATCAACAGGAATACGCCCAGAATTTGGTATCTGCATGGAAGCCAACAAAACGAGTCTGCATTTTATAGATAAAGAATCGCTATACAATTGCCAAATGATGTTCTGAAGCAAATGGGGGACAAAAGTAAGAGCAGAACAAGGGCATTGACGATAAAGAAGAATAGAAAAAATTGCAAACAGATCGCAATAAGACTCAATGAAAGGCACATCTTAGATTCACTGAGATTCTTAGACATGCTCAATCTGTGGAAATTAAATTTTAGAATAAGAATGCGGACAATTTCAATCCTTTTAATCATAAAATGCGAAAAATTACAGTCACAGGAATACTAAGACAAGTTCATGTAATGTTATACATCCCAGAAGAGAAAGCTAGTGGAGATGAGAAACCTAAGTGTTTTTGCATAAGAAAATCAGCATGAAAAAATATGTTGATACTGGAAGTTAGGAGTAATCAGCAGCTGATATACCATTCTTACATAAGAGGCTAATTGAAATTCCATTGTAGCATACAATCCTTACCTAGGCCTTTGGTTGGATGGTTTTCCAATGAACACATAACGAATGCCTGCTGTACGTTTTGATATATGATAATAGAGGCCTGCAGAGAATCAATAATAGCAAGAAAATTAGTTTCTCTCCCAAATCTTCACCAGAACTTTCACTACAATGCAGGAGCTTCTAAATGCAGGAATCACCTTCAAAGTAAAAGAACATAAGGTTAGCACGAATAACCAATTGCAAAAATTCACGAGCTATAGGCAGCACCTGGAGGGACCAGCATCATAGAGATATTAACTACAAAAGGGATTCAACCCAGGTTCTCTGATCACCAATCAAAGCTAGTGACATTCAAAGATTGAAAAACAAGATGACAAAAATCCTAACCTGTAATCAATTTATAAGTAAAAATAAGAGGTGGTTAAGTATACCGTAGGCCATCTGCGAACTAAAGAAAGCCATAATCCGTTGAATTTCTCTTTTAATCTTCTGATAGCTGAAGCAGACGCCCCTGATGTAGAGGCAGTTGAAGTAGGGGTGACTGAAGAAGACTGAACATCATTGCTCAATGAAGCATTATTGCCATAGAGCTCATCGGAATCAGCAAGTACTATGCCACGGTTAGCAGCTCTAGAACTGCGTAAAGTGAAATCGAAAAATATACATGAGTAAGGTCACAGTTTGCTGAATAGATGCGTAAAAATGAAAAGAAAAGGTCAGGTGGGGGAGCTGGGACCTAATTCGTTCTGCAATATAAGGAAGTGCTGTCTGGTACACAATGAAAAGTGCTCGCCTTGCTGGGGTTGGAGGCAGCCCATAAGGCCCTGCAACCTAAAAACACAAGTATCAAGCATCAACTACACAAGTAACAAAGGAATTTCAAATTAGAGAAAAATCAGAAGCTAAATGGATAAACCTGAGTGATGTCGCAGTACTCTTCCCCAAGAGTTTGCTGGCCTGACCCTGTTGTCAAAACGTAATAAAGCACTTGCCCAAGAAGCTTTGTCTGCCAAAAACAACAAAGAGAGAAAATGAACTCCATGGATGGAACTAGTTATTTATATCCCAATTCACAGTGGCTAAAGTAGAAAACTTTTAAAAGGGCCCAACCTCGTTCTGGTAAGCTACAGCAGTTCTTGTACCCAAGAGGTGGCGGACGGCATCGCGGCAAGCGTCGTAGACGAAGGAGGCGTACTGGTCGTCCTTTTCGGCTGCTCTCATGATCTCCGGCTGAGCCGCCAGTGGGAACCGCCGCGCCGCGCCAGGGTCGCTGCTACTGGGACCCGCTTCTCCTCCTCTCGGCCCAGCTTGCTGCCCAGACCCGATTACCTCGTTCCAACCCATGTTTTGTTCACTGTTTTTCTTTTTTTGGTCGAATTATGTGTTCAAGTTAGTAATTGCAACTCCAATTTGGGAAACCTAAAGATTGAGACTTGAAATTTCAGTGTGCAGATACGAAGAGAGAAACAGAAAGAAAGACTTGGAAGAGTTTTTTGGTTGCTCGAGGAAGAGAGAGAAGAGGACAGGGAAGGGATAAAATATAATACGACGTCGTTTTACCGTAAAATGAGTAGCCAAAATGGCCATTTTGTAAAAAAATGCGCCGTTGCCGGGGATCGAACCCGGGTCACCCGCGTGACAGGCGGGAATACTTACCACTATACTACAACGACTTGGTTGCTTACGTTGCCACAGAATATTATATTTAGCGACAAACATTTATGTTACACGACGACAGCAAGAGTTTGCCAGATAACAAACCTTTGGTAGGAAAGCAAAGGCGAGCCTTATCTCCCACCAAACAAAACTCCAAAAGGCATTGGCAACATTTAAACAGAAAATAAAAAAAACGCTGACCTTGATGCTAATTATACCTTATGCCAATGGCTGTGTCATCTTCCACCTCTACCATACACATTGCGCAGAAAAACTTTCCTATTAATCCAACGTCTAAAAATGGTTGTATATTCTCTTCAAACTCCATAAGGTTTGCTTCAAAACCGCGCAGGTTTTGCATCATTAGAAGCTCCCGTGATGTATCGGCAGAGACTGCCACGACTGAAGCCGATTCACAAAGCTCCATTGAAGTTCCACAAGAACCGCCTTCTCTGATTTCTGCTCTTAATGTGGAACGAGCACTTCGCGGCATACGTACGTAGAGTGTTGAGTTGTTGATCATCCATTCATGTTCGAATATTCAAGTTTTTTTTAGTTACCCTTTGAGCTCAATTGACCAAAACAAGGTTTAAATTGCAGCAATTACAGATGTAGATCACTATGGCAGACTTGGACTTCGAAGAGGATGCTCGTACGATGAGGTCACAACTTAACCATTTTCTTCAAGCACCTATCTTCTTCTCCCTGGTCTCTTTGTTTATGTGTTTCTGTTTAAGCATGCAGGTTTCGGTTGCGTACAAAGCCAAGCTTGATGAGCTAAAGAATCAGGGGTTAGATGAAGAGGAGCTGAACAAGAATCTGGTGCCTTTAAAAGTCAGTTTTAGTCCAGTTTATTTTGTATATGTTTTTATTTTTCAAAAACAAAATATCTCATCAGCTGATTCAAATTTTGTATGTGTATGCATAGGAGTCGTATACAATCTTGTCATCCAGGGATGAGCGAAGACTATACGATTGGAGCCTGGCCAGAAGCGAAAAACCAGACACGTATGTTTGGCCTTACGAGGTTGAGAAAACGAGACCGGCAGAAGGAACTCCACCACCAGTACAGGTACTTGCTAATCTTTTTAATCTTGGTCATGTCCGAATTAAGGTTTTTCTTAAGTTAGTTTCTTTATGGTTTTGATTTGATTCTTGAAAGTCCGGCTTTAGTTTTTGTTCTTCAAGTTCAGTTCAGACAACGGTTTTATATGAATAATGGATAGGAGCACTTCTTGCAGGAACCAGATGATCCAGGGCCGACAAGATTGGTTGGATACTTCATATTGGGATGGTTCATATTGTCCATCATATTATCCATAGCCCTTAATCGATAGAATAAGTTTGTTGCAACTTGCATTGCCTGCTTAATATTTTATCTGCAGCTTCTTAATTAATTTTTGCCAATGTTGCTTGGTCAGTATTTTTGTGTTGCTGTGTTGGGTTGCATTGGTGCAATCGAAGTCATTGCAGCTTCTCTGGCCTTTGGTAAAACTGCCCGCGGTGTTTTTGGGGAGGGGAAGCAAATATGTACCTGAAAACAGAGAAAAAAAGGCTTGCAAGTTAGCATTCTAGTATTAGTGACGGTCTACTTACTTCTTTATCGACGAATAAGACCGGTGGTAAAAGTTCAAAAAAGGCCAATAAAATACCCTGCAAAAGTTTAGCAGCAGAAAGGAAAACCGCCGCTAAAAGTCTCAGGTATTAGTTCATACCCCAAAATTCGATTAAACGTTTCCTTAGTGAAATATTTTACTTACTTTAGAAGAAACAAAAAAAAAAACCTTTGAAGAATTTATATCCGAAAAAATTATTAACATATATTATCTGAACATATTATTTGAGTCCATATGACTAGATTCTTATACTATAGTATACATTTACAGAAATATTAAATATACCTTTTATTTTATTTTATGGAAATATTGAGTATTTGTTAGATCCAGTCAGGACCCAAAAAACCAAAAGAAAGAAATAATAGGTAATATAGCAGAACCAAAATATTAAAATAAGGAATTGGAAAATCCACCAGCAGATGTCAAAAACTCAACTCACTTTTGTTTTGATCCAGAATTCTTTTTTAATAATATTATTCACTAATTTAGCCTCCAACACTCTAAACTGAATTTTATATTTACTCACCTGTTTCTGTATCTTTTAACATACCTTCAACCAGCTTCGATATGGCTGCAAAAGTAAAGTTTCATGAAGAACAAAAGGTATACGAGCCCTATGGCTACATCAACCATTGTGAGAAATACTTCCCTATCTCCGTTTCATTGTCACCTATCAAAGAAGGTGAGCGATAGAGAGAGGGGGTTCAATGAAACAGGGATTGGGAAGTTTTTCTCCAACCACTGCTGCTCTGGTTAAAACTTTTGTTTGCTAGCCTTCCCCCTCTATGATCAAGCTAAAAAAGTGAAGAGGGTTAGCAGATATTTACAAATAGTTACTGTCCCAAAGCCGAGTCAATCAGATCTGTATCAACAAAACCAACAGAGAATTGGCATTAGAAAAGTAGCAGCCTACATAAGCAAAAGATAACTTGCGCTAAATATGTTGCTTTCGACAAGTATAGGCAGATTACTTCAAAAAACAAAAAGAGCTAATGCTATGCTAACCAAAATAATACAATCTAACTGAAACCAAAGAGTACCATATAGAACATCAAAGTTGAGAAATCTGACGTCATCTACACAATTTACCTCAGAAATCAGCACTTCTTCTATTCAGTGTTTTATTTTCCGTCTACAATACTGATAACCTTCTGCACCATCTTCATCGGACCCACTAGCCATCTGCCACCTGTCATGACTCAGCTCATCAACATTACTCTTTGCACTGTGCTTAGAATGTCTAGAACTGCGACTGCTCCCTTTATGCAACTTCTTATCACTGGAAACACTCTGTTCTATGCCGGATCCTGAGTGGCTGTGATGCTTCTGACTGTGCCTTTTGAAATCGTGCTCAATCCTTTTACTGTGATCATCTTTCTTACTCATACTTTGATGATGACTCCGGCTGGAACCAGTGCCACACTGCTCTCCTCTTTCCTTATACTTTTTGGAGCTTCTACGATAGTATTTGTGTTTCTCTTCACTGTGGCAACTGCTACTTGACATATCATCTACTTCTGAACTTGATCTCTCTGTGCGATGATACTGCTTCTGATCTCTACCACCAACCACCAAATGAGAACTCTTCCGCTGACCATCAATTGAGAGCATGTCATCATCTGTGTGATTATGATGCCGATGTTGCCTCTGGGACCCTTTAGTAGAGCCGTCCTCAGAGTAACTTGTACTCTTTTCTTTGTTTATACAAGATTTATGATCATGCAATCTTTCTATCCCAGTACAGTAACGCCTCTTGTTTAAATCACAGTCTTCGTCACCATCATGAGATTGTTCTCTGGTGCAGGACAAAACCACTCATAAGAATTAGGACTATTAATAGAACAATAATCAAAACTGATACTATCATTTCAGACGCAAACTAGCATACAAAGATGCATACACTTGTGCCCTTATTTACACACATCCATCAAACAATACATGCATAAGTTCCTCCTACTGATTATTGATAATTAAAAGACTTACCTCTTCGAATTCTCATTTGAAAATTTTCTTCTCTTTTCCCGACCTTGAAGATCCGGGAACTCTGGATGAGTTAAATTGTAGTCTTCACCCGTTCCTTGAAGAGGAGTGACACCTCGCATCCTCATATATCCACTGCAAGATTGTTTGGTGTCAAAATCAATATGAAGCAATTGAAGGATACTTTATATGATTGAGGATCACTACCATCACCAATATCTTATGTACACCAATCAACTAAAGATGATAAAGAACCTACCCAAAGGCAGGAAACGAGTTATGATACATAGATGCCATGTATGTAGGAGCAGCAAAAGGAGCAGGAGGGACCAGACTTGTATCAAAAGCAGTCATCACATGATTTCCATATGGATTTCTAAAGGGCTGGGCATGAGGCGAGGGAGCCCCATTCCAGTGTGGTGGTACATAACCTCGCATAGCTCCTGGAAAGATTGCATTTCCTGAAATCCACGAATAGGTGAACATCACAGACAAGACTTCATAATAGTCTACAAGATAATGCATGCAGGTCCCATTTCATACCTGCATGAAGCATAGGATGTGGACTTGAAGCAACTGGACAGTCTCTTATGAAATGGTCTGGAGCCCCACACATGTAACAGGTACGTTCCCCCTGATTTCATAAAGACAGGGTTTAGACAGTCAAAAAATTTCCCCGAAAAAACAAAAAGGAATGTCATAACATGAATGATGGACCTATGTCAAATTCATTTTTCTCTTCATTTCATCTAATATTACAACCCGAGTTTATAAATATGTATTACAATAGGACAAAAAAGTGAAGTCACAATAAGGACATAAATAGAGTCTGTCGTTTTAGCACTTGGACCTAAAACATGGGCTCAAAAGCCGAAAAATAACTTCTAAAACAATGAAAGAATACCAACTTCCGCTGGTAAACTAAAACAGTGAACAACTACAACTTTTTTACGATAAAGATCCTATCAAAGAGAATTGACAGAATGAGATTTTAATGATTAAATCTGCCAAATTTTAAATCCAGAGTTTGGGACTACTTAAATTGGCACTTATGTTCCCCTAGAGTGACATATTTGATTATGCCCACAATAAAAATAAATACAAATTTATAAATAAACCCAATCCTAGACATGTATTTATAAAAAAACCCAAACACTATTTAAACATAGAAACACACCCAAAATCAACCCCAAAGTCAACAATTGTATAATTTTTTGGTGTGTTTATAAATGGGTTTTGGGTGTGTTTATAAAGTGTTTTGGGTGTTGGGTTTTTTTATAATTTCAGCTCCCATTTTGGGTGTTTTAGTGAAACTCCCATAAATAAACTGCATGTCCAACTTCACAGTAAATACCTTTCTGTGCTTTCCAGTCCCCAAGAAACTCTTGTCACCACCTAGTAAAATAGCATGATTGTTAGAAAAGGTGATATACGCCACAATAGCTTATTGATAAAGTTCCAGCAAGGTCACAAAGGACCAAGTTGGATAGTACCTGCTGTGCAAACCCAAGGTGGCCTCTTTTTCTTAGTTGTGGGTTCAGCTGTAATCACATCATAAAAGGACATATTAAAGTAACACTATGGACTGGAAAAGATACAACGGTTAGTTATACAAGAAATAGAATACTGAGTCTACTTCCAGCAAAGTTACATTACACTAAATCAAATGCATCATTGGAAATATACAAAATTATTACAGCAGACAATGAAAGCAAGAGTGAATAAGCCCAAAATTTTAAAAAGATTACCTTGCTCATGCATCGGCTTGCTTTCTCCTTGGCAATCATCAAAGGCTGCCAAGCCATCAGCAACGATACGAGTAGAACCATGTCTTTTTAGAAAGTTTTTTGCACCGAAATGGTTAGGTGCATCTTTTTTGAAGGCTGGGATATGAGCAGATTCTGCGAAGAAATGATTAGATCCCATCCCTGTTTCAGGAGAATGAGGCAACTCTGACTCTCTTTGTAAGATACTACCACCACAAGACACATCTTTTGCCTGAATTCCAGATTCGCCATCTGTTTTTACATTACTAAAGAGTTAAACACAAGAGTAAAGTTGAGGTAGGTCATAATAGACACATATAAAACTCGTACCTGGAGCATATTGGCAGCAATCATTATCTGGACCAGTGATTAAATTTTGAGATTCTAGGAAATGCTCAATTGCTTGCCTAAGTGATACATTCGGTAGCAAATCATCAACTCTGCATTTGGTCGAAAAACACTTCGGACATCTTGCCTTCTCAAGCAGCACTTGACAAATGCCTGAACTCAAGTGCAATTATCACATTCAGGTTACAGCCCAGATTACTAATATCTAAAGAAAAATTACATAGTAGTTCTGGGAAGAAAAGAAAAAAGGCAATAATATCCAATCAATATCTAGGAACGAAAGTCGGTAAACTACCAGACAGTACACTTACATTTCTCACAAAAACTGTGCTGGCAGCATGGTATCATCATGGCCTCCTTGAAAATTGAGTAGCATAAAGAGCATTTCAGCTCTGATGACAAATCAGCATGCCGGGTATCTATGGGATTCACACTACCCACCCTTCATTTACAAGTGATTTAAAAAGTCAGATCCTTGAGAGAAGAACCATAAAAACAATAAGATGATAAAACAACTGCATATCCTACTTTTCCAGATTCATGTCTTCTTCAGGATTTGGTTTTGTCTGTGGTACGGTGTGCTCAACGCCACTATGTACATGACCTAAATTAAATATTGCAGAGTGGTAAGCATAGACCTAACCCATGAATGACTCGTACAACTAACAAATAACAATACAAACAGCACATACCTTCTGGAATAGCATCACTAAGGCCACTTGCTTCAAGCTTACGGCCTCCTCCCACAGCTTGCTCTGAATATCTAAGTACACATTGAAAATCATGTATTGCATAAATACCAAAATTCTACCCGAGGATTTGATGTATCTGAAGTTTTAAAATAAAAAGTCATACCACACTAAGAAATCACTATTGTAAGAAAATAATCAAACCTTTTGATGTCAGTATTTGGCTCATAATCAAGGATGCAGGTATCCTTGTCCGCATCCATATCAGAACTGAAAAAGGTTGCCCTAGGAATGGGAAACAAGTCAACCCCAAAGTCATCAAAGTCAACAGTCTCCACATTCTGTGACATTGAAACATATAAGTTTTACCAAAGAGTTATATGATACAGAAGAATTACAACAACAACAACAACAAAAAAGTGAGTGCAAAGTTAAGATATAAACCGCTGAAACAAGTGATTTAGCATTCACAGAGTCCTTGCTATGAAGATTCTGATATGAGTTGACGTGAGGCTTGCCACTGTAGTATAAATTCACAAGAGGAAGAAATTCAGGGGCACTAAATAAACTTCCATTACCAATGAAATATGCATGCCCATTAAAAACGAGCAAGCAATATAAATATCAAATGGGTAGATATCTTACACATCTGCATGAATTGATCCTGCGGGCACTCTCTTGATTATCACGCTAGAACCACGCGGAATTTGAATATTCTCGTCAGTGTACTCTGAAATCAATCCGGAAAAGAAAGGAATGTTAAAATGTATCTATCAATATGCTTAAACCCTAATTCCAATTCCGTGCAAAAAAACACCACAATTTTAATTCTAATTACTAAAATTGTTAAGCAAGATTTCATGCCCGAATGTAATGTCTCAAACACAGACCATAATAAGTTGAAAGCGGCAAAGAACTATTGATAAAAATGAAGGGCGGGAGAGAGTTGACCTTGACCAGTTATCGCATCAGAGAATACGAGATCGGTGTCTTGGCATATATTGAGGTTCTTGTGGCGAATTATCTTCGATTTCAGATCGCGAATTGATATGGAGGTTCGGCTGTCGATATCGACCGAGTCGAAGTTCACGGAGCTTCGGAATTTGAACTGAACCGCCATGGCGGAGTCGGGCCGAGTCGAGTCGAGTTGGTGAGTCGAAGCTCAGATCATCAAGTTGTCAGGTAAGAGAGAGAAAACCCAGGAGGGATATAGATTGGACGGGATTGCGTAAGAAATTTTCGTTTTCTTGGTGCGAGGGTTAAGATTTGGACTCTGTTTTGTTTAAGCCCAAAAGAAAAAGTTTTCCTAAGAAACAAGTCAGGTCCAACTCAAAGTCTTGATACAAAAATTCCCATGTGAACTTCTTCTTTTTTTTCTTTTTCTTTTTTTGTGGTCGAAACACACTTTCATTTGCGAAAGGAAATGAGGGAGCTTCTACAATGAGGAGTTAAAGTGAGGAGGTTATTTGAGGAGACCGATTCGACCGTTAAAACATTTAAAATATTTAAGTCCCATGATTTCTTTACATTTGTTGATGGTGAGATTTGACCACCTCAAATAACCTCCTCACTTTAAGCCCTCATTATAGCCTTTCCCAAGGAAGGAAACAGCACAAAAAGCTGCTACGCAACCAAACAAACAGGAAACAACACCCCTAGGCAACACTACAAGAAGGCCAACCCGACAAAGCCCACAAACATAACACCTCAAGGCAACCATCCCTCCAGCACTAAATTACTAAAGTGGGGTAGTCGAGAGAGAGAGAAAAAGAGAGAAGACGCATGAGAAGGAGGTGTTCGGAGGCCAGCGGTGCATGGGTTTAGGTTGTGAACTAGTAATTTATTGCATGATTAAATCTCATTCACATTATTCATTTGGGAGATTGAAACTTGAGCTATCATTAGACCAAACAAAATAATAAAAATTGAGCTGTCTGTGTTTAGAAGTCTCCTTTTATGAACGGTTGAAAGGCCAAAGTTTTAAACGTAAACATCCAAATTAAATAAGTCCCAACCTTGAGTCAGCCCAACAGTGATGAAGCCAGGATTTTATGTGTGTAGGGGCCTCTCATAAAATATAAACAATAAAAAATTCAAACTCAAGACATACCAAAACATCAAAAATAATATTGTCTATTCATTACAATCATAATTTTGACAATTAAAAAAAAAACAAATTCATTACAATTCATAATTGTCCTTGACAAGTTTTCATATTTTGAAATCTTTGCATAACAACCACGTCATCTATACTATTAAAAATGTTTTTCTCAATATATGCAACTAAGCAATCATTCATCTATGAATTAACCTAATTGTAAAACTTAATAATATAATATCGAGTTTGAGAGAAAAACTCACAAACAATGAGAAAGTTTGCTCTCGCCAAGCAAATAGAAAAATGGATTAAAATCTCTTTGCTTTTTTAGCAATTTGTGTAAAGAGGTAGTATAATAATAGTTTTATTAAAACTTTTGGGAATGGGTTTGCAAAAGAAGGCGTAGTCTTGGAGGAAACGTAGGTTTGGCCGGTCCCAACATGGCTTCACCCCTGAGCCCACCTTACTTTCTACAAACTTTGGATCTCACTTCATCATAAGAAAAGAACAAATGTCCCGTTTGGTTCACGAAACGAATTTTATAGGAAATCATTTCTCATGTCATTTTTTAATGAATGGGAAATAAAATATTCATTTCTCATATTTGGTAATACTAGGAAAGTAATAGAGATATATCGTTTTATTTCCTTTCCCGTGTTTGTTTTGAATAGGAATGGAAAAAAAAGTTTGTATAATTTTCTAATTATACTCATATTAAATCAAATTAAAAAGAATTTATAAAATGATATATATTGTAATTCTAAATTGTTAATATAGACAAAATAGTCATGAAAAGTGCATTTAATATTAGCTTATTTTCCCAAACATTCCCATGAGGAGAGAAACAAAACCCAAAAGAGGGAAGAGGGCTTCACTTTCCCCGTATTTTAACATGTGTCATGCAACGATTTCTCATGCATGCATGGGCTTACCAAACATAGGAAAGCAATTGATTCCTCATCCTCAAGCCTCCTTTCTCACGAATAAAACAGAGCCCAAAAGTTCATTAGCCAAAAACTCAAGGCAAAATCAACCAACTCTTTTTTGTTTTCAGAAGAAAGTTCAACCAACTTTTTTCCCTAATTAAACTAAACCCTTTTCATCTTTTGAATACATCAATCATCCGATCCATTTTTACTCATAAAACTCTGGATTTTGGCAGACCATTAGGATTTTGTACACAAAAACTAGTCGATAGCATTTTTTCTCACCACTTTAACACAGGGTGTACCATCACCACTCTTATTGACACTTGACAGGTGTCCATGAGTATAACAATAATTCAATAAATACAAAGTAAAGAGTTAATTATGATTATGTCTATGAACACGTGTTAAGTGTTGAAAATAATGATAGGAATACACCTTGGGTTAAACGGTGAGCAAAAATAATTCAAAACTAGTCCATCATCCTCGAGTAAATACATAGAATTTATAATTGACATGCAATCAACCAATATTTTTTAAGATAAGAGTTTGAATTTACTAGCATTTGTTTGCTCGTGATCCTATAAATCAATGCAATATGATAATAGCCTCAAATGTTGCTCTCTTTGACCTTAATTAACTATTTTCACCTTCCAACTTTCTTTAAGTAAAATAAAATTTCTCTCAAATAACGCAAAAACTTCTCTTGATTTGAAAAGCTTTGTTGAAAGTATAAATCATAAGAGAAACAAGAGAAGACACATCTCTGGCCCTATGGAGACAGAGACACACTTTCAACAGTTACATCAACTGCTCCTCTAGCTGTTTTAAAATATTTAATGTGAACAGAAAATAAAGAAAAAAACAATCGTGATTTGCGAGTGTTTAGTCGATGACATCATGAAGAATCTCTCCCAGATCAAACCAATCACAGGATATTATACATTAAAAAAAGTTTTAATTCCAGGGGGGGGAAGGAAGAAGGAAGGAGCTGAGATGATGAAATTTGTCTTCTATGGTATCCGTCCTTCCTTTACATTGACGTGAAGTTTAAACCTTGCTAGAAAGTTAGGTAGTAATTAATGTGAAATTGGTCAAGAAAATGTCCAAAAAAATCCAATCATCACTTTGAAGACTCGCATTATTCCCTTGTCACTCCTCCTGGCCGCCTTCAACCATGTGAATGTGAATTACAGCGTAAGAACAGTACATTTTTGTCCACGTTTGGATGTCGTAGGTTTTTGTGTATGCAAATTACAGTAATGTAACATCTTAACTAACCATGATATTATATTAATTTTATATGCGAGATTCACACACTAATTTTATTATGAATTGTTTAATCTTTAATAGTGGTCAATTATTAATGTGCCTATTTTCTGTACAGAAGAGCCTTCCCTTCCCTTCCCTTCCCTTCCCTTCTGTATTGGTGAAAGAAAACGATGTTTGTGAGACTCTGCAGCCTGCAGGACTTCATAGGACAGCCACAGCCTTTCTGGAAGGTTTCAATTGGTTGGAAATTGAGGGGCATGCAGGAAAGAGTCGTATTCATACTAAATCACTCAAAGTATCGAATTCAGTGAGAGGTCAATTTAAGATGAAAGCTCATATCAAATGTCACTCCGCCATATATAATAATTAATTAATCACAAAATTCAACATTCTTTACGATAAATTTTGAATGACATTGCCCAATAATTACACAAAATTCAATGGATGCGATAAAGCTCAAGTTTGAAAAAATAAATTGTCCCGCGTGAAAATTGGAAAATTAGATAGCCGGGTAGGTTATCAGCACCAGCCCCGAGCCTTTTCGTTTTGCTAATTTCAACACCAAAATCATGAATAAATAGAAATTAAAGGGTAAATATAATAATTATTGGATGGGGGTCTCTTTCCTCCCATGTTGGTCAATAAGTATACCTACAAAATTAATTGTGGCGTAACATATCTTCTCTCTTCGAAAAGGCCCGCACTGGTTTCTGTATGAACCACACTAAGCAGGTCAAACCTAGATTATTTCCCAGTTGGGTACTTCAGGCACTTATATATACTTACTAATTAATTGAATTAGGGACATCTAAAATAAATTACTTCACGTAATCTGCAAACAATTAATATTTTCGGTTTCCCGGCACTGAACAATCTTCTTAATTAAATTTTAAGATTAGCCTAATAACATATTTTGGTGGTGAAGCTTCTGAAAATGGTTGGAGTGTAACATCTTGCAGATGAACCAACTTTATAATAAGTTATCAGTTTCCATGTACGTGTATGTGTACGTGTATATGATGAAGCTTTGTATTATTTTCCTCCTACGTGTGTCCCTGGTTGGTTTCTTTCAATTACGTGAAAGCACACCATGTTGGGGTTTTACACACAAGAAGAAAATGAGGTTTTTATGACGCACAATGCGCGTGCCGTAAATGACAATGCTATGTCAACTGCTCAAAATGATTAACTTACAAATTAATCAACTGAATGAACTGCCCGTGGGAAACATTCAAACATGGACGATTGTTTGTAGGACTGTACTTCTAAGTTGTATGACAGAGATCCTGTTGTCTTTTCTTTTGTTTGGTCGAAACAGAGATCCTGTTATCTGTTAGTCCTGTTGCTTACAAAAAAGCTGGAGCTACGAATTAAAGCCGGGGCATTTAAAAATAAATGAATAATAATGAGGGGAAAAAAGAAAAAAGAAAAAAAGACAACTTTATTCAGAGATAATTCACGCAGACCTACCCCTCAAACGATTGGACAAACTCTCGCTCTCTCCAGCCAGATGTGGTCTTTCAAAAGTTGCGACAAAGACTCTCTCCAAAATCAAATCAATAATTATGAAAGGCAGCAAAAGCTTGATGCAATAAAAATGAATGAATGCACTGGGCATGCATGCAATTATTTTCCATTAACATTTCATCTGCTTCCACCCATAACCTAACCCCTTCTTCTGGTCATGATTAATCAAGTTGCAAATCATGATTAAGGGAGGCTTAGTTAGCATATATATTAATGCATCACTTTGGAGAGATATTTCGTTACCTACCTCGAACTTTAATCGAGTGGTGAAAATTAGATATTAATTCGTGGCAAGCCAACCTACCCCATTTCAAGCTACCAGAAATTCAAAGCTCACAAGTCACAAATTAACAATCTTGAAAAGCACATGCTGGCTAGTGTGACTTGAAGAAGAAGATAAAAACAAACAACAAATAAGGACAAAAACATAATTCTTAGAAGACAAATTAGGAGGGCTCATGCTTGTATATGGCATATGCTCCGCACATTTGGCACACGGGATTGGGAGACTTTAGG